TAATGTATTAATAAGATGCTAGATAAGTCCTTGCTTGTATGTTACTTAGACAATTTGTTAAATACTATATTTGCTTTTGTTCCTGGTTTTTAGCATGACTATGTCGTGCAGCTATCTTATTGTATTTTCTTTTGATGGGTTTACAAAAATTAGGACAAATTGCACTCTTACTATACATGTGTGCCTAAATTATTTTTGGCATGCTGTAAATAAAAATTGCCGAAAATATTTTAGGTAGCCTAAACCGTAAATAATATTAGTTGCTGAAATTATTTTCGTTTGCTTAAATTATTTTCAGCTGCCTAAATTATTTTTAGCTGGCTAAATTATTTTCAGTATCTAAATTATTTTTAGCTGTCTAAATTATTTTCAGATGCTGAAAATTTTTTAAAACATTATTTTTGCAAAACAATTATTTAGTTTTATTATATGATTGATGGAAGCCTCTGAATAATTATAACAAAAACTAAGGACCGATCGCATATCCCTTACCGTTACATACAGAGTTGGCATTGGAGCCAATGAAACTCAACTGTTACATGAATAGTGCTCAAGAAGCTTGAGCTCCATTGACTCTCTATTGCCAATTCTGCTTACATACATAGTAACTTAATGCTACAAGATTAATAAACTGACTTTTTCTTAATGCTTACAGCTCATAGCTAAAATCAGCAACAAAAAATTTAAGGCCTCTCTCTTAGCCATAACGATAGTAAGAAATATTAGTTCATGCAAATGAAAATAATTAGACTAGCCAAAAATAATTTTGGCTGCCTAAAATAATTTTATCTGCAGAAATAATTTCAGCTATCGAAATTATTTCTAGTAGCTAAAATTAATTTAGGTAGCCAAAATTATTTTCGGCATTTAGGCATTTGAGGCAGTATGCCAAAAATATAAAAAATATTGGTATGCCGTAATGCTGTAAATCATCTCTAATCTGAGCACACTTGTATAACTCTTAGAATAAAAGAATGATAAAAACTTTTAAATTTATTTTTAAAATATTAGTATTAGACCTAATAATTAAGGCTCCAGCCTACAAAATACTGCTGTTTTCTAGTATTTTATTGACCGTTTTACACTTACAACTTTATTTCATAATAAAAATATAAAACATAAAAAAAATAATATGTATAAAAATTATCAAAACATATAATAAAAAATATATAAACATAAAAAAAAAAAAAATCTTATAATAAAACTATAATGATAAGTATTATGTATAATATTTATACTAACTTGTCTTCTGTTACTATATTGATATTTTTTTTTAAGTTTAATTTCGAGTTCACAAGTTTTTAATTCTAATTAAAGTTTAAATTCAAGTTCTAACTTGTATTTTTCTAAAATAAGTGTTCTTCTTTTTCATGTTCCCACTTCTTTTGCTCAAATTTAAACTTTTTCTTTTCTAGTTTAAGTAGTTGTTGTTTGGTTTCAGCTTCAATTTTCTTGCTTTCAGCTTCAGTTCTCTTGCTTTCAGTAATTAAATCTATTGATTTGACATAATGTTCTTCATCTTCATTTAAATGTCATTTTTTTTCTGATTTTAAAGAATTTCTTTTTGTTCCAAACTGGTACCGTAGATCTTTATATAAAAAAAAAACAATTATACTATATATATAATTAAAGTATGATACAATATGTTATACTTACTTGACCTGTACTATTAACTATATAATCTGAATTCACATTCTCACAATTTCCAAATATATCATTCATTTCACTATAAAAAGCCCAAGTAGAGGTACTTCTACCTGTTTTGCTAGAACTTTTTGCCATATATTTGTCTATTAGTGATCAGATTTTATTGTGAACTTGTAATCCAGTTTTACCTTTACCAAGATATAATGCAGCTTTAAGGTAAAATTTTTCTTTATTTAGTCAGTAAAGTGATATATTGTCTGATAAATAAGAAATCAACAATTTAATAATTGAATTAGGCCATAGAGCAGTTTCGTTAACACTATCATTTACTAAACTATTTGTTTGTTTTTTTTTAATTGTTGGTTTAGAAGATATGAATAAATTATCTGAATTAAGTATTAACAAAGGTGTGATAACTGAATTATCTATATAATTTTCATTATTATCAAGTATAATAGTTTCAACTTGATTATCTTGTAAATTAATATCTTCATAAATTGATATAGGTTTCTTAATAGAAAAATCATGACGAGTAGAGGTTTTATTTTGATAAACTGAAAAAATCAGTTAGGTTTGTGCTTTTTTTAAAATATCTATTTTTATTTCAAGTAAATATTTTAAATTTTTATCTTTGTAAAAGTGTAGATATATTTATATTTATAAAATTATTATTATAGTATTAATCAACTATGGTATTAATAATAGTTAGTTAAAAAAAAATAATGTTATTATAAATAATATTAAGTTAGTTACGTTTATTAAATTTTATTGTTAAAAATTTACAGTAAGTACTCATAAATTAAAAGATATATTGTTGATCTATAAAGTGTAGGATGACTAATACAAATATATCTCTTGATTAATATTGATATCTATCATGATATCATCAGTCTTAGGGTGTTCTCAAGTGCCTAAATCAATGGATCAAAAATCAGTTTTTAATTAGCAGAAAATAATTTAGCTGATTAAGTGAGCTTTTCATCGCAATGAAAAATAAAAGATGGTTGTTACTCAATAGATCTGAAGTAAAATTTTAACTAGTCAAAATTCGAATAAACTAATCAAGAGAGTTATTATTTCGATGAATAAAACCTGGAGTTGCGACCACTAATTTTTTTCATAAAGTTTGCTCTGATTGGCTAAAATTTAAAATCTGCAATTTGTACAATAAATTTTCAGTATATCGTTACTATTTAATCGTAATAATCACTTCACTTAATAGTAATACTTGAGTAACGTCTCAGATCACTTTCAAATCACATTAAGGGTGCTGCTTGAGAGTGCCTTTAATATCTGCATTCTGCACTATAAGTCTTCTACAATATTGCTATAAGAATTATTTATAATGCTTGTGCACGATCTAGATCACATTGAGGGAGTTGCTTGAGAACATCCTTAATTAATTTTTCAAGTGTTGAGCACTTTAATAGAATTATCTTAATATAAAGTTCATAAAATTCAATATCACAAAAATTCTAATTGTTATAAGTCTACTCTTGGTATATTACTTTGAATTCTTTATTTATACAATACTAATATTCATTTGTCAATTTTATCTGTAAATAATAGAAATTTAATTAATCCTTTTAAATATTAAACAAACTTATTATATTAAGAAGCTTATCAATGAAGTGATCATTATTGTAAGATCAGATGATTTTAAGAGCAAATCTATGCATATTAATATGCATCTTTTTATAGTTTAATAGTTTTATTTAGTATCTTGTTGATCCAAGATTAGTACTGGGATAACATAAATATTTTAATTTTAGTCATCTATAAATTGAGAATAAGTAGTAAGTATTGATTAAGGCTAGAGGAATGTTATGAAATTTTGCATAAGAATCATAGCATAAGGCAAAGAGAGTTGATAATTAGTTTAAGGATAATTATTTAAAGGTTGACCTTTAGAGGAGAATTTGTTATCTCCTCTCTACTCACCCAATTCTAGGAATAAAGATATATTTTTCATAAGCTCTGCAGCTGTGAAGGCAATACAAGGACTTATATTGATAGGTCCACAGCTGTAAAGACAGTACAAGAACCTAAAATTCTAATCTGAAAGTTCGAGATTCATAAAAAGTAGGCTCCAAGACTATAATAGAAATACAAGGACCTTATATTCAGACCCACTGCTAAGCTAATACACCAGGTACCATTCTATTCCCTGGCTGATTCTCACTATAGCTATATGATTTTTATGAAGAGAAACTCTAATTTGATACCTTAAAATAGTATGGTTATATATATGAGTAAATTAGTATTAGCACTGTCTCAATATAGTGAATCTATCCCCATATATTATTTCGTCAATATATATATATATTAATAAAGTTCTGATCAAGCACTAATAATACTTATTATTGCATCAATTATCATACTTAAATCAACTTATAGAAACTAGCTTTTAATAAAATAAAGGATCGTAGTTTAAAAATTAAATAAATATATAGCGATAGTAAAAAAATATACAAATATATTTATTTTATTTTTACTTATGCAATCATTAGAGTATTCTCAAACATCAATATGATTAGCAAGTGATCATAATAGCATACAACTAGAATTATATTTATATAAGGCTTTAGATAAAATTTTGATTATACAAATTATCATATGATTGAAGGTTTCTAAAGCATTCTCGATACTATTTACTAGTGATCGTAATAATGCTCATTTATTATAATCAATCTAAATAGAAATTGTAGTCGATCTTGTCTATTGTACTAAGAATAAAATAATTCTTATAGTAATTTTGTAGAAGGCTCATAGTGCAGAATGCGATATTAATAGCATTCTCAAGCAGCTCCCTCAATGTAATTTGAAAATGATCAGAGACGCTGATTAATCATTGTATTAATTGAAGCAGTTATTACAATTAAATGGTAATGATATGGTGAAATTCATTGTGCAAATTGTGGAATTTAAATTTTAACCAATCTGAGCAAATTCTATGAAAAAAAATTAGTAGTCACAGCTTCAGGTTTTATTAATCAAAATAATAACTCTCTTGATTAATTTATTCGAATTCTGACAAATTAAAATTTTATACCAGATCTATTGAGTAATGACTATCTCATTGCAATGAACTTATTTAATTAGCTAAATTATATTCTACTTATTAAAAACTTATTTCTGATCTATTGATCTAGGCACTTGAGAACACCCTAATACTATAAACTTTAACAAATTTGTATATATATATACTTCATAAACACTTGACCTGCTAAAAATATTTTCGCTAAGTAAATTTATTCTCTTGCACTTTTTAACTTATTGATTAAGGCACTTGAGAAAACCCTTAAGTATAATTTTATGCTTACCAACTAATTACAAAATTATAAAATATTCTTTTTACTCACCTACTAAAGAAAAACATATTTAAAGTTTTTTCTAAAAATTTAAAAAAATAAAAATTTTTTTCTTCTTTTTCCTCTCAAACCTGAAACTAAGTCATGTGTCAAATCAACCAAAATTTATTGGTTCATCCAAAAATAGCACTAATTATTAAAATTCCCTTTTTAAACTCTTATTAATTAACACAAATTAATTACTTACATGGGCCCTTTCTAAAGTTGATTATGCCAATTTGGGGTATTACCTATTAAAGTAGTTAATAAATATAAATAGCTAGTCAGTAGATATAAATAGTTAGTTAATAGTTATAAATAAAATTTGATTCGTATTGTTTATGTGACTTATTAAATCACGTTTTCATAATTTTATCACATTAAAGTACGTCAAAATTATTTTTCAATGAAATTATGAAATTTTTAAAAAAATATTGATATATACATATTGTAAATTGTGTGATAAGTAAATAATAGG